AATTTCCAAGGAGTGTTGTTATAAAAACTCATTTGTTGTTCTCCTTCTATTCTATTCTTTTGCATTATGGATTACTTCGTCGACAAGAAGCCCCAACTTCTCATAAGCATCTTCTTTTTAGAATTTTGGAACTAAGGGCGCCAACTTCTGCCAGTTATCTTGTTTTCTAACGCTTTTGGTTTGCATGCCAAATGTGTAAAGAAGTCCTCGTAGAAGCAAGTTGACCTTTACATAAACCATTCCATAAGCGTTCTTCTTCTCTCCAACAAAATTTTTGTTTTTGTTCGGTAGAAAATTTTGGTTCAGATGATTGTCAGAAAGAGTTCATTTTGGTAATTTATTAATTTTAAATTAAATAATTTAACTTTTAAATTTAATAATATTATCTAGTCTAAAATTTTTTAAAAATTTCTAAAAATTTAGAATTATATATAATTTGTTATACTAAACAAATTTTACATAAAAATGAAATTTATTTATTTAATAAAAATTAAGTTTTAATATATGGCAATTATAATAACTAATTTTTAGAAAATTACTATTTTTATATATGTATAACATTATACAATATTTTATAATCTAATTATCTCAAAAAGTGCTGCATAAAATTTTATAATTTTTTTTTATTTAAAAAATATATAGAGAGGTGATAAAATTTTTTCTCCACTCAAAAAAATTTTTAAAAAATCAAATATCAATCAAAACTAGACAAATAAATATTTATTTGAAAGATTAAGGATTTCTCTGTTTAATAAAAATTTTAAAATTTTTTTTACTATTAATATTGATTAAATTCGTGATAGTAAACTTTCTCTATTTTTAAACCTAAATGTCATAAATTTGAATATAATAATCTAATATTTTTTTTATTATAAATAAATATAGAGTGTCTCAAGATTATAATAGTATGTATTTTATTATCTAATTAATCTTAAAATAAATAAAATAAACAAAAAATCAAAATATATTGATTTTTGAAATGAATTGCTTATATATCAAAATTTTATTAAGATAACTGGGTTTCATGCTCTAATTAAAAATGTTCTTCATCAAATATAGACTAATATAATGTTTAAGCTAGATTTTTAATCTCAGCTTTGATAAATTTTATTAAATAAAAATCTTAAATTAGTATTGTGTTCAAGTTAGGTTCAAATTTTATTAAGATAATCAATTTTCATACTCTAATTCAAAATGTTCTTCATCAAATATAGATTAATTTAATATTTAAGCTAGACCTTCAAATCTCAGCTTCAATAGATTTTATTAAAAAAAAATTTAATTAGTATTGTATTTAAGCTATGTCTAAATTTTATTAAATTAACTGATTTTCATACTCTAATTAAAAATATTCTTCATTAAATATAATGCAAATAATATTGTGCTAGAAGCAGTTGAGTTTGTGCAGCTTAGCACTGGCCAGTGGTTACCTACCTATATAATGCAAGTCTGCTGTTAATTTGAATATATAATATTAATATTCAGCAATTACATATAATTATAAAAATAGCAGCTTCAATTAGCTGTGATTTGTGTGTTATTTAAACTGAAATAAAATATGCTTCTGGAAAAGCAATAATATTGTACTGGGAAATAACTATAAGCAGTTTGTGAGCTTAGCACTAACCCAACTTTATAACATAGGCCAGCTGTCAAAAAACATGGGATAGTAATAGTCAGTAGTTATATTTTTTAGTAATTACTGTGGAAAGTTATTTAGATCTTATTGATAATTCAGAATTTAGCTTATTCTAGTTGATGGTTTTACAAGACACATCAATAGCAACTAATATACTGATACTGGCTTGATTCTTGAGCATAATTTAAGACAACTGGTGATAATGACATTCAGCATGAAGATGAAGGTTGAGTTGTGAATTGGGCCTGTTAATGGCCAAGAATCCTAATTGTGATCTTTTTCTCATTGCCACATATAGAATAATGTTTATTGATTGTATGTATATACAAAATTGAATCTGTTCTTGCTTAAGCAGTAATATGTTATACCAACAAAGAACAGTAATATAAAAATCTTGGATTTTTTAACATTAACACTCAATCAAATGCAGAAATTTGGTTTACTATTCTAGATGGCAGTTAATTATACACTCTATTATGCAAGTATGACTACATTCTTGGTATAGTTAACTTGTACTATGATCTAACAATGTGAATAATAATATATGTGAAACTGTTATTATTACAAAAAATATCTTTTTCATTGTTTTGTTTCAATTAGTTGGGTAATAGTTTTAACTAACAATTTATTTGATAAAATCTTCTAGCTACGAGGACAATGCAATTAAATAATTGTATATTAACTTTAAGAAATAGAAGGATTAAAGAATCATTTATAGATTTTAATAAATTATTAAAAGATAATTTAAACAATATGGTTATTCATATTAAACAATATAGTTTTAATTATAAAAATTTTAGCAGCATGAAAAACTACAAATTATAAAGTAATTGTAAGTTAACTTACTAAAAAAATGATTAAAAATTTCTTATAAAAATTTTATACTAATTTTTAATTGCATGCCTGCCTGCTCTATATATTGCATTGACACAGGAAGGTGTGCTATTAACAAGATTATGAAAAGTTTCTAATAGAATTGCAGCCCACTCCTCATGGACTATTGCTCTAATTCCTGAAAATTACTAGGTAAATGCTGTCGTCTATTGATATTTTAGTCGTAATGCCCACAAATTTTCCATTGGATTAAGATCTGACTTTTAGGTGGCAAGAGAAGTACTCTAATATTTTTTCTAGCAAGAAATCTCTTTATATTTTTAGCAATATGCACAGAAGCTCCATTAGGCAAAAAATATTTACCCTTTGGAATTGCATTTCTAAAAGATGGAATTCTATATTTTTCTAATATTGTAATATATTTTTGTGAATTAACCCATTTATGAATTGCTACAAGATGACCATGACCCTTCCATGAAAATCTACCCCAAATCATTTGACTTTTACTTTTTGCAACAGGTACAAGATAGGCTGGGTCTAGTCTTTCACCAACTTTATACTATACATGCTTTTGCACTCCAGAACGGAACTGCTTAAATAATTTTTCATCTGTAAAAAAACCTGTTTTTACCTTTTAAGTGACTAGTTTTTACATTCTTTGCACCAATTATATCTTTCAATAATATGTCTATTGGTATGAAGAGAAACAGGAAGAGCTATATAAGATTTAAGTCCAATTATTTGTAAAGCACAAAACATTGTTCTTGGATACATTTTTTGCTTTTCTTCTCTCTTCCACTCTTTACAAAGCTTAGCTTTTGTCAAATGGAATCGATTATTAAGTATAAAATTAAGCTTTTCTAAACTTTCAGAATTAAAATAAAATGGATGCCCAACTTGTTTTTTTTTATGAATCTTTGTACTAAAATAACAGTTAAGTATGTTTCTAACAGTTTTATAATTACAATTAATAACTTTTGCAATTGCACGATTTGAATAGCCAAGGTAATGGGTAGTAATAATACCTCCACATTGTTCAGGTGTCAATATTTTTTATTAGTTATTAAAATCAATTAATGATATGAAATATAAAAAAGATACACTAAAAAATCAATTTTATCTTTAAGAAAAAGATAGCTTTATAAATAAATCTGGACAATTAATTGATCATTAAGGGTTACCTTAAAATACATTTAAAAATTAACTGCATTATTTAAATTACTTATTTAAAATCTTTAAGTAATTTTGAGGCTCTTATTCTTGACAAGGAATCTGCATTATTTGAATAATTACTTCATAGATACCATATTTTACTGACAATTATTTACCAGAAGCACATTTTACTTACAAGTTTTTTATAAATAAATTATACTAACTTTAATTCTAACCTGACCCTAATAATATTGACCAGAATTACTTTGTCTATAAAACAAGTTTAGTAAAATAAACTGCTAATAAAATGTGATATCTACGAAGTGATTGTCAGTGAGTTAATCAGATCCTCTTGGTAAGTTAACTTACATTTATTTATTGCTATTTTGTTAACTACAATTACTTAATATAACTGCATTGTTTGAATTTAATCTAATAACTTATTAAAATCTTTAAGTGATTCTTCAAGCCTCCTATTTAGTTTTAACACAAATATGCTATGCAAAATATTTTAAAAAATTTGCTATGTTGAATGGCATAATTTGAATACCACTCAACCTACTATTCGAACTTCTATTCAACACAATCACATGATTTCACAGACATGCATGTCTGTGAAGTTATGATTGTATTAAATAGAAGCTCGAATGGTAGGTTGAGTAGCATTCGAATCATACTATTCAACATAGTGAATTTTTTCATACTATACTGATCTCATTATCAATATTGTAGATCACTACTTACAGTTTGTATGATCCGCTATTCAAAATGATGAATATTACCCTTACTGCAGAAAAATAAGCAGAGCCTTCATATAATCGGGAATTTACTTTTTAATTCTGCTGTTGTGAAATTCCAAAGATATCCTGCTAATATTTTCTGGCCAGACCATATCACTAGTAAAAACAATATATGTACAACAAATTTTTAATACAGACTCCTGTTTCTTAATAAGTCAACTCATGACTTCTTACAAAGCAATATATTAAATAAATTTTATAAATCTTATGAATCCTGCATATTACAATTGTCTTTACAATGATAATATGTGAGATTTGTAAGATTTACAAAATTATTTGCTATACTAATTTAAAATAGCGAATATACAGTATTGATTGCATTATTTATTAATATCTTATAAATTGCAGATAGTTAAATATATTATGAGCTGGAATTTGGGATATAACTTGAATACTAAATATATTAATAGCTAAAATATATTAGTTTAGCATGAATATTATACTAATAATATGTATTGACAGCCAGAATTTGGGTCTAACTTAAATACTATATTAATTTAATATCAAAGCTAGGGTTTGGAAGTTTTAGCTTGAACTCTATTATAATTATATTCAATAAAGAACATTTTTAATTAGAGCATGAAAATTAATGAACTTAATAAAATTCGAGTATAGCTTAAACACAATATTAATTTAAATTTTTTTTTTAATAAAATCTATCAAAGCTGAGATTTGAAGATCTAGCTTAAATATTAAATTAATCTATATTTGATGAAGAACATTTTTAATTAGAGTATGAAAATTGATTATCTTAATCTAACTTAAACACAATACTAATTTAAGTTTTTTTCTTTAATAAAATTTATCGAAGCTGAGATTTAAAAATCTAATTTGAACATTATTTTAGTATATATTTATGAAGAACATTTTTAATTAGAGCATAAAACCTGGTTATCTTAATAAAATTTTGATATATAAGCAGTTTATTTCAAAAATTAATATATTTTGATTTTTTGTATATTATATTTATTTTAAGATTAATTAGATAATAAAATATATACTATTATATTCTTGAAATGCTCTATATTTATTTATAATAAAAAAAATATTAGATTATTATATTCAAATTTATGGCATTTAGGTTTAAAAATAGAGAAAGTTTACTATCACAAATTTAATCAATATTAATAATAAAAAAATTTTTTTAAATTTTTATTAAATAGAGAAATCTTTAAGCTTTTGAATGAATATTTATTTATCTAAGTTTTGATTGATATTTGATTTTTTTAAACTTTTTTTGAGTAGGAAAAAAATTTTGTCACCCCTGTAGATTTAAAATTTTAATATTTTAATTTTTAGCTTTATACCTTGCATATTTAGCTTTGTACAAGTTTTTAAAAAGTATCTACAATAATATAGCACTCTACTGTATTATAGGTTCTTCTATTAATAAAAAACTAGTACAAAACCTACTTATTTTTTCTGTAACCAGAGTAAGTAGTTAGTTAAGAATTAATTATCGTCATTTCTACTATGGTCACTAAAAAATTCTAATTATTGAGCTATGCAATATGTACAATAGTATTTGCTAAGTTAATACTGAATTGTCATGATTTTTACTGTGTTATTGTAAAAATATTCTGTTATGAACCCAGTTGCAATTCTGAAAGCCATAAAGCTGGTTGTATTGGAATTATTAGGGTTTCTAAAAATTTATTATAAAGAATTCTGTTACTTGTTAATGCAATAAATATAATTGTTAAGATTGAAATTATCATGATTTCTACATAAAGAAATTCTATTGCAGAACTTGCTATTCCAATAACTATTTATGCTATTGGGTAAAGTTGAGTTATTTGTATTAAAACTAATATAAGTTCTACTATGTACAACTATAAAAATTTAGTTATAGAACTTGCTATCAGGTAAAGTTGGTTTTTTAAACTCTCCAAAAATTTTAGACTTACTTTAGAATGTTTCAAATTTTTAAAATATATTCTAAATTTCAAAAATATACAGTATTAAATAAATTTTTTTTGATTTTGGATATAACTAATATGAAGCAACAATTTTCAAAACAGATGTCCAAAAAATCCTAAAGTTCTAAAATGCAATTTTTGCCACATTACTAATAAGTATATATAGCTGTGTTAGTAATGATTTTTATTGTAGATTCTGTAAAAAATTCTGTTACAAAACTTATTTGCTGTTTTGCTACAGTAATTGGATCAAGTTTGTTATATTGTAATTTCTATTATAAATCTTAAAAATTATGTTAATTATTTGTTGCAAAATTTACTATTAATGTAATATATACAATAGTTGAGTTAGCATTAAAATTATTATATTATTTACATAAAAATTATATTATAAAACTTACCTATTATTTCACTGATCACAATATGTAGTTAAAGTTGAATTTGTTGTATTGGAATTAGCAATTTCTACTGCAAAAATTTAGTTTTATTATTTATCACTAATGCGCTATACATAGTAGTATTAGAATTGTTGTGATTTCCATTATAAAAAATTATGTCATAAAACTTGTTGTTCTGTTACTATAGCAAGTGGTTTATACATGTGGCCAAAATATTTCAGTCATTTTGGCTATCTAGCAAATATTTAAAGCAAAGCTGCTAATACTTTGTAAATGTGATAGAAATTAGGCTTCATATATGTTAAATTAGATCCACATACCGTAGGTTTCCGAAAATAAGCTACCCTTTTTTGGCCAAAAAGTTACACTAAAATCATGGAGGTAGCTTATTTTCGAGTAAAATTTTGAAAAGGTTGATTTTTATTATTTTTTCAAAATCCGGAAGTAGTTTCTATATATAAAAGTTAAAATTCTATTAAGTAAATCGATGCAAGTCACTTAATAGGAGTTGTTTAAGACGTAAAATACACATATCCTGAAAGTTTGAAGCAAATCAGAGAACTTTTTACTAAGATGTTTTTGCATTTTACGTTTGAGCGTAAAATGCAAAAACAT